CGTGTGCACCAGTGGGTTATGCCCAAGGCTGGGTCTCCAAACTCTGGCTGACCTCCAGGTGTCCCACCTGCGCGCCTCGGCGGCGCCTCCCTAATTCAATTGGTTGGTTCATGGCAGATACGTGAGCACGAGCGTCCGGCGGGGCCGCCAATCGTCTTGCCATGCGTTCGGTCTCTCTCCAGCCACTTGTCTAAATGTCACCTACGTCACTATGCCATTCTTGCGTCCTCCAGAAATCCATTAGTGCCACCCTGCTCGCTCTCCCACTGTGCCCCCGTGCCCGAGTCTTTCTTGTTCTTTTTCTTTTTTTTGAGACGAGTTCGCCAAGCCTCGCCACGGGCTGGAGTGCAGTGGCGGGTCTCAGCCACTGCAAGCTCCGCCTCCTGGGTTCCGCCATTCTCCTGGCCTCAGGCCGCTACCCAATAGCTGGCTATCTACAGGTCGGCTGCCACCCTCGCGTCGCCGGTACTTGGTCATGTTTTTTCTATTTTCTTGAGTAGAGACGGTTTCACCGTGGTAGCCAGTGAGGTCTCCGAGTCCTCCTGCACCAGGATGGTCTCGATCTCCTGACCTCGTGATCCGCCCGTCTCGGCCTCCCAAAGTGCTGGGATTACAGGCTTGAGCCACTGCACCCGGCCTCCTCCCAGTCTTAAGCAGACACCTCCTCCCGGCTCCCACAGAGCCCAGTGGCTCGTTCATGGGAGCTGCACCCCTTGCCTTACTATAATTATCCTCTGCATTTCTTCCTCCTCAGACCAGACCAGAGTTTCCTAAATTGTCTTGACCACACTGCCCCATCAATAGAAAAGTTTTGAGCACTCACATCCAACAAGCGCATATCTGTTTATTTATCCACAATTGACAAGCAATACTGCACTAATATATAATCATAACAAAATACACACTGAAGTATGAATGTGGATACTTCCCACTTTGCACATGCTGTTCAAATCACTTTCTTTCTTTCTTTCTTTTTTTTTTTTTTTTGAGATGGAGTCTTGCTCTGTCACCCAGGCTGGAGTACAGTGACATGATCTCAGCTCCCTATAGCCCCCGTCTCCCAGGTTTAAGCAATTCTCCTGCCTCCTAAGTAGCTGAGATTACAGGTGTGTGCCAACACGCCCAGCTAATTTTTGTATTTTTAGTAGAGACGGGATTGCACCATGTTAGCCAAGCTGGTCTCAAACTCCTGACCTCAGGTGATCCACCTGCCTCGGCCTCCCAAATTGTTGGGATGACAGATGTGAGCCACCACGCCCGGCCCCAAATCGCTTTCCATGGGCCTCTCTCCAGCCCACTTTCAAATGTCACCTCACTAGCCATTCTTCCTCCTCCAGAAACCATTAGTGACACCCTGTGTGCCCTCCCAGTCTTTTTTTTTTTTTTTTTTTTTGAGACGGAGTCTCGCCATGTCGTCCAGGCTGGAGTGCAGTGGTCGGATCTTAGCTCACTGCAAGCTCCGCCTTCCGGGTTCCCACCATTCTCCTGCCTCAGCCTCCCAAGCAGCTGGGACTACAGGCGCCTGCCACCTCGCCCGGCTAGTTTTTTCTATTTTTTAGTAGAGACGGGGTTGTTAGCCAGCGGATTGGGTCTCGATCTCCTGACCTCGTGATCCGGCCCGTCTCGGCCT